GTCATGTGTAGGGACGTGGATGGACCTAGAGACTGTCATACAGAGTGAATTAAGTCAGAAAAACAAATACCATATATTAATGCATATATGTGGAATCTAGAAAAATGGTATAGATGAACTTATCTGCAAAGCAGAAATAGAGACACAGACATAGAGAACAAACATATGGATACCAAGGGGGGGAAGGGAGGTGGGAGGGATTGGGAGATTGGGATTGACATATATACACTACTATGTATCAAACAGATAACTAATGAGAACAGACCGTATAGCACAGGGAACTCTACTCATTGTTCTGTGGTGACCTAAATGGGAAGGAAATCCAAGGAAGAGGGGATACACGTATATGTGTGGCCAATTTGCTTTGCTGTACAGTAACACAACATTGTAAAGCAACTATACTCCAACAAAAGATTTTTAAAAATTAATTCTGATAAATTTTGCCAGTTTCATCACTGATTTCATGGAGTGAAGAATTTTCAGAGGTTTAAACTGTTATTTTTGCTGATGTCATTGTGGCACAATGACTTCGGAATTCTACCTTGCATTACTCTCTGAAATTTATTATATTTCTATCCTAGGAGCTTACCATTTTACTCTTAGTTATGTCATAGTTCAAGAGTGTTCACAGCAGCACTGATCAAAAGAGCAAAAACCTGTAAACAACTATACTGTCCAACAGAAGAATGAATAAACAAATTATGATGTACAAGGAAAATGAATAAATCACAGCTATGTAAATAGGATAAATCCTCATAACATGATTTTAAGTTGGGGGAGAGAAATCTGAGGAATAAAACATTCAATAAGATTCCATTTTTTATAAAGATCTACAACATATGGTTAACACTATTAAAGGGAAAGGAATAATTTAAAAAATACAACAGATTAATAATTACTCCTGGGTCAAAAGATAGGAATGAGATAAGTACTGAAAGAACTTTAATAGTGTTAGCACAGTACTATTTCTTTAGTTGGATGAAGGGCTCACATCCAACCATATTATTATGATTTGTAAGTTATTAATGTAACTCATTTTTTATATGTATTGTTTTACAGTAATAAAAAGGAAAGAATCTAGACTATTTTAAAAAGAGAGCTTTAACCCCTTTTTTCTTACATATTTGTGCCACCTCTACAAGAAATTCCTTATAAAGTGTTGAAAGAGAAGAGAGAATTGTGACACTTACAGGCTTTGCCATTTATTAAACTGTGTGCAGGATCTTAAAAAGTTACTTGATGTCTCTGAGCTGGTATCCTATTGGTGGTACTTACTTTTGGTGGACACTGTGAGAATAATGACAAATTACATGTAAACTGTCCAATCTATAGTAGATACTTAATGAACGGCAGGTATTATTAGCAACATGATATCACAATATCCATTCAAACAGTAAAGAAATCCATACATTTTTCAGATAATCAGATGGGAATTTTCTTGACAAAAATTTCCAGACAACTAAAGCAATTTTTACTGTTTTATGAAATTACGCATTGCCAAAATGGCATCAAAGGGCATTCTTATAGTAAAGCTAGATAACATGTTGAATCATTTTTTCCCCAGATATATTGAAGCATAACTGACAAATAAAAATTATATACTTTAAGGTAACATATTTGGCACCATTTTTTGAACAAAATATTGAATATTTATAACTTGAAAAATGCTCATCTTTTAAAGATATTTCTATTTCTAGACATACTTCCTTAATTGACCTTTAGAACAATAAAACCATTTTGAGATAACTATTCTTCCAATTATAGTTTCCAATACAACAAACATGTCAGCATTTCCAGAATATTTATGTTCCCTAGTTCTAGATTCTGAGAAATAGCCAACTTGGGTATTTGTAGGTTTGAGAAATTTCCACTTGCATGGATTTTTTAAAATATCTTGTTAAAAACCTGGAAAACTTGAAAGTCCCCATAATTTCCACTGAACTCCACTGAGCATGTCCATGCTGTGCAAAAAATATACCCACTTACTGCTGTAGTTTGCTGCACACGCTTAGTTTAAGCATGAACATGAGACCCACTCCCTGTGCCTGGATTATACCTCTAATTCCTTTAGCCCATTAGTATCTGCAGGTGAAGAAAGGACAGAACCTGTCAAAAGTTAGGGGAACAATCATGATCAAGCTTAATATCAAGGAAAAATTCCAGGTAATGAAATTTGCCTTTGGCATTTTCCTTGTTTGGGCGCCCTTATTATCTCCTAGGTCCCCAGCCCCTAAGAGTTTGGTGACCTCCCTCCAGCTATCTCGAACCTCTCAGTTCAGCACCCCATCCAGGCCCACCCTATTTGAAATAAAGCTCTTAATTCTTCTCTAATTTCCAAGCAAAATGAGTGCAGACTCACAAAATGTAGTCTTTCAATATGTCAATGTTGTTTCAAGTTATAGATTTACTGGGAGAAAGAAGTAGAACATGTGAGAACTGAATGTAGATGCAGAAAATGATAAACAAAACACTGAAGTTTTCTTTGTTCACATCTCTTATCAGAGGATAACTTACCAGTGTCCTCAAATAAGCTTCCCTATTTTCTTCCTACATCTGAATGAAGTGACTCCACAGCCATGAGTGCTAATGCTCCTGGCCAGCAGGTGTACCTGTCCAGTCATACTGGAGTCTGGAACAGGTAGACACTGAGTAACATTTTTGGTTAGCTAGAGGTCCCTGAACATGGCTATCTACCACAATTCTTGGCTATCTACAGTGGCATTCCCATAGGCCTCATCAAATTATTAGCAATAAAAGGATTCAGTCTCTTGGTCTGTCAGCACTAGTCCATTTGTTATGGTCCTGCCTGTCTTGGACTTTTACTTTGGGCTAACAATCGGAAAGATAAACCAGCTACACTGCCTGGAATATTCAGCAAAGGAAGGTGAAATCAGTTGTGGAATATCTACTATTTGGTATGTCATGGTGTATATAACTGATAACCAGATCCACTTCTCATTTGCAAATAGCTCAGAATGTCAAAACCAGGTACAACCTTCAACATTATCAATTCTACCCTGCTGATTTTGTGGAACGAGATACTGAGGCCCAGAGATATTAAGTGATCTGTCACAAGTGACATAGAATTTAAGTGGCAGAGCCTGGATCAATGTTTCTTGATTTTTATGCTGGCTCTTTTTCCCTATTCTTCTCTTTTTTAATCATACTTGCTGATTTCTCAACCAAGGGGAGGAAAAGCATTTGTATGAATCCTTGATCTTAACATAAACAGCCAATGCTAGTTAGTACAGCTGGTGGTCAGCATGTCCATACTATATATTGTTGACACTCTGTTTGTAACTGGCTATTTTAAATGACTACCTCCTAAAAAATATAATTAGGTTTTTGTTCAACACTCTTCACACATACATTTGGCAATTCTGCACTCTGTGAGGTTAATAGCAATGATGATTTTGAGTGTAATAGGTGGGCATTCTACTTGAGAAGGTTTCAGAATTACTGATTAAACTTCAACAAAATCAAAACAATTAGAAACTGTGAAATGCTAACAATCATTTTTGTTTTTTATTAAGTGGGTCTGTGCTGGCATAATCTTTTAAAAATTATAATATTGTGGCCTGGCTGTTGTCTGTCATTTGAATTCTTTTGAAAATAAGACTTAAATACTTCTTTTAAAATGTCAATTGATTCTAGTGCTACAAGTGACATATTCAAACAGGAAGAATTATTCCTCAAGTGCTACTGGGAGACAGTCAAAACCTCTCCATAAGGCTGATTCCTTTCTTCATTTCAATAAATAGCTCATTATCAAAGGTAAAGACTGAGTATTAAGCACCACATTAATGGCCTAAGAAATCTCCTGAGATGAGCAATTAATATCCTAATGCTGATCGTGTCAACTTAACATGAGGTGCATATATATATATATATATATATATATATATATATATATATATATATTTAAATATAGCCCACCTTATCATAATGCTATTTCTGTAGGTTTTGACTTAAAGAGTTAGAGCAAAGACTTCTGGGGCAGACAATGTGTTGTAAAGTGCACATTCCTACCCTGCATTTTTAATCACAAGTGAAATAGTCAGGTGTAATTGAATAAAAATTCATTAGGCATAAAGAAAAATAATCCTAATTAGATTTTATTTTAGATGAACAAAACTCACAGTGCCTATATTGTTGGTTACAATATATTTCCCCTAAGCCCCACAATTGCTAAAAATACCAAATCAATCACTGGCCAGATTTCATTATGAAGTGTGTGAACCAGTGCATTAAAAAGCTATGTTAGCACCAACAAAGTTTATTGGGGCAACTGCATTCAAGATGCACATGGTATACCTTTAAATAGCACTGTTAAAATACCAAATAAAGTGTCAACGTCTGTCAGGTCTCTGGCTTTTATAAATTGTTTAGACTGGGAAAGGTTGGGGTTTGGACATTGTTCTTTTCACATGATGTAGAAAAGAAGAGACCATAAAAAGAAAAGAACAATAAAGCGTAGTTCATTTCTGAAGTTCTTTCATGGAAAAACATACTCTGGATCATTACCCTTCTAGTCAACAATTTCCTTCTTCCTCCCAATCCTTCCCATCTGATATTTACCTTTCTCCCCACCCCCACCCCCTTCTCTCTGGGTGGTATTCTGAGCTTATACACAGTACTCAGTAATCATATGTTTTATGTCGCTTCAAAAGAGAATCCCAGGAGGGCACGACTGGTATGTATATACTGGGTATTTTTAACCTGGATCATAGCTTTACTCACCATTTCTATGCTCTTAAAAATACACCAGAGTGCCCTAACCGCAGAGTTTCCCCAAGGAGAGGAAGGCCCTGGGAGCACGATCAGCTACTACCTACCTACACACTAGTTATTATCACACCTTAGTGGCCATCTCTTTGCCCTCTTCCCTCCGCCCCTTTCCTTTTATTACCACACCACACTCCCCACAATTCCCAAACAACAACATCTCTGTTTCAGCGTCTTCTCTGGATTTCCCACACTTAATGCAATCCAGACCTCACCTTCAGCTCTCCTGAGGCCACTTTGGAAGCCAGCTCGATGACACAGCCAACAGCCATGCGTGCAGCACCGGACGAGTGCAGCTCATTCCAAATGGTGTCACTGTCCACCTGAGCAAACAGTGAGCAGAGCCCGCAGAAGAGAGAGGGAGAGAAAGAGAAGGAGAAGGAGTAGATGAAAGAGGGAGGGGGGAGGAAGGGAGTTCAGGAGAGGGGAGAGAGAGAGAAAGCAAATTTGTGAGGAAGGGCTGGCACAGTAACAGCCTATGTACAATAACATTAGTCTTCCGTCTTGGCCAGCTGAAAAGGCCTTCTGCACACGGCTTTGCTTATACTTTTTCTCTACACTGACTTCTCCAATGGAAACACATTCCTGCCATGCCTCACTGCCATTCCCTGTTTAGATTTCTCATTACAAACAGCATTACATAGGCCAGATCTGGCGTAGCTACAGGCTTGCTAGAAACCAGGCCCCAGTAGTATATAGAGTAAAAGCTAAGAGCACTTAGCTATACATAAAAATCGGATTTGCAAGTGCTAGAGGGGGAAAATTCAAATACCTTTCTGGCTGCAGGTTTACGGGGAGCCAAAAACAATTATTAGGCAGGTAGCAGTAGCAGTCAGTGAGTGGGAAGGAGCAACCGCAGTTCAGGTTCTCCAACTAAATGGAGGGAGTGTGTGGTCCTCACACTTAAAATATTCTCAACACTCAACTGCAAGGAGAGATTTGACTTTCAAAGTAGAAGCTTAACATTTAGTACAGTTTGGCAGCTAGTCTTAGTGCAAACTAGTATTATTAAAATTAGATAGGCCATTAAAATATATGGTTGCTCCTATACTAGACAACATTATTATCAAAATAAAGCATGAACCAATATTTTGGATTTACCTTTATAAAATGCTGTTTACTCTTTTTTGTGCACACATTAAGAGAACATTTACAACAAGGACAAGAAAAGTGCAATAGTAGTGGTTTATAATTGTCATATATGTTACATATCTTTTTTTTTTTTTTTTTTTTTTTTGCAGTACGCGGGCCTCTCACTGCTGTGGCCTCTCCCGTTGCGGAGCACAGGCTCCAGACGCACAGGCTCAGCGGCCATGGCTCACGGGCCTAGCCACTCCGCAGCATGTGGGATCCTCCCGGACCGGGGCACAAACCCGCATCCCCTGCATTGGCAGGCGGACTCTCAACCATTGCGCCACCAGGGAAGCCCTATGTTACATAATTTTAATGTATAAATATGTCATAATATAAAAAAATAACAGTATCAAGCTGTAGAAGTCTATTATTTTAGGACACAGTTGGAGCACTGGGAAATGCAATAAAAAAATTTGACTGTGCAAATATCAAGACGTCTCAAATGGCTCAAAGAAGGGAACTCTGACACAAAATACAGAATTTTTTTAAAAAGAAGAACTAAAGTGAAGAGGCCTAATGACAGGGAACAAACACAATAAATAATAACTCATTCACAACGCACTAAGCAGTTTCCTAAGCATTTTCACATGCTTTTTGTCATGAGAGCCTTAACAACTTAAATTCTGTTAAGAACAATGAGTAAATACATAATAAATGAGAACACTAAATAAATAAATAGAATATTAAGATTCTCTCAACAACAGCAAAGTGGTAAAGAGAGAAGATTCTGGAATTAAACTGTCCAGGTGAAATTATGACTTCACCACTAAAAGGTGATTGACAATGGGCAATTAATTAACAACTCTGCTTTGATTCTCTTACCAATGAAATAGCAGCTTTTTGAAGTGCCATCTGCATATGAGGTTGGGGAGGATTAAATGAGTACGTGATATGCAACTGTTAGCTACTACTATTTCAGCTATTACGCTCATTTTTGTAATGCCTAACACGTAGTTGAGGCCTAAGAAGTGGTTACTGAATGAACATACTGTGGCTTAGAGAGGCTACCCAGAAGGTCTGAGGACCCTCACACAGAGCTCTGACCCTAACACATGCCTTTCTACCATACTACTGAAATAACACTTACTTTCTAAGAACATTCAGCCCATGTCATAGTCAACACCATCATGGTCAACACTATCAACTAAAAATTGTAAAGGAACCATCAAATGAACCCTAGAACCTAATCATTTACCCTCTAAACTGAGACTTTTATTCTTTTACTAAACCACTGTAAGTAAGTAGTTATTTGAGCTTCATGAAGATACAGCATTCAGGAAAATGGCTGTTCAAGCTAAAAAATTAAAACCAACATTGAGGGGAATCGGGAAGATGGCGGAAGAGTAAGACGCGGAGATCACCTTCCTCCCCACAAATACATAAGAAATACATCTACACGTGGAACAGCTCCTACAGAACACCTACTGATCGCTGGCAGAAGACCTCAGACCTCCCAAAAGGCAAGAAACTCCCCACGTACCTGGGTAAGGCAAAAGAAAAAAGAATAAACAGACAAAAGAATAGGGACGCGACCTGCAGCAGTGGGAGGGAGCTGTGAAAGAGGAAAAGTTTCCACACACTAGGAAGCCCCTTCGCGGGCGGAGACTGCGGGTGGCGGAGGGGGGTAAGCTTCGAAGCCGCAGAGGAGAGCGGAGAGCGTAGCAACAGAAGTGCGGAGGGCAAAGCAGAGAGATTCCCGCACAGAGGATCAGTGTTGCCCACCGCTCACCAGCCCGAGAGGAGGCTTGTCTGCTCACCCACCGGGATGAGCGGGGGCTGGGAGCTGAGGCTCGGGCTTCCGTGGTTGCGCAGGGAGAGGACTGGGGTTGGCGGCGTGAACACAGCCTGCAGGGGGTTAGTGCACCACGCTAGCCGGGAGGGAGTCCGGGGAAAAGTCTGTACCTGCTGAAGAGGCAAGAGACTTTTTCTTCCCTCTTTGTTTCCTGGTTCGAGGAGAGGGGATTAAGAGTGCTGCTTAAAGAAGCTCCAGAGACGGGCGCGAGTCGCAGCTAAAAGCGCGGACCCCAGAGGTGGGCATGAGACGCTAAGGCTACTGCTGCCGCAACCAAGAAGCCTGTGTGTGAGCACAGGTCACTATCCACACCCCTCTTCCGGGGAGCCTGTGCAGCCCGCCACTGCCAGGTGTAAGGCCAACTGGCCCGAGGCAGGGGAACACAATCAGATTCACAGGTTGCATCAGACTGAAATTCTCCGGACCACCCAGTTCCAGAAACTGCCCTGGAGACATTCCGGACCATCCAGTTCCAGGAACTGACCTGGGGACTTTGAACCCAGCCCAGCTTTCCCGCCTTTCGAGGGGCGGGACCAACGGTCCCCCAGGATACCCGAAAAGACCACCAAATAAGAAATACCCTGCGCCCTCCCAGATTCACCACACCCCTTTCCCTTCTTCCCCTATAAAATCTTGCCCAACCCTTGCCCGGGTGCGACTTCTCTGGCCCCTTTCTCTCGGACCACTGAACCTCGCCTGGGAGCGCTCCCTAATAAAGCTCACTTAAAGCTTTCCTCTGTTTCGCGGTGCCATTTGTTAAGACCCGACCTTACACCAGGGTCCCGGGATCGAGGGACAACTTCCCCGGGAGAACGCACGGCACGCCTCAGGCTGGTTCAACGTCCCGCTGGCCTCTGCCGCTGCAGGCTCGCCCCACATCGTGCTCCTCCCTTCCCCCGGCCTGAGTGAGCCACAGCTGCATCAGCAGCTCCTTTAACCCCGTCCTGTCTGAGCAAAGAACAGACGCCCTGCAGCGACCTACACGCAGGGGAGCTGTGCTAAGAAGAGAAAGGGAAATCTCCCAGTAGCCTCAGAAGCAGCGGATTAAAGCTCCACAATCAACTTCATGTACCTGCATCTGTGGAATACATGAATAGACAAGGAATCATCCCAAATTAAGGAGGTGGACTTTGAGAGCAAGATTTATTATTTTTTCCCCTTTTCCTCTTTTTGTGAGTGTGTATGTGTGTGCTTCTGTGTGAGATTTTGTCTGTATAGCTTTGCTTTCACCATTTGTCCTAGGATTCTATCCGTCCGTTTTTTTTCTTTAAAAAATTTTTTTTCTTAATAATTATTTTTTATTTTAATAACTTTATTTTATCTTACTTTATTTTATTTTATCCTTTCTTTCTTTCCTCCCTCCCTTTTCTTTTTCTTCCTTCCTTCCTTCATTTCTTTCTTTGTCTCCTCCCCCCCTCTTCTTTCTTTCTTCCTTTTTCTTCCTTCCTTCCTTCCTTCTTTCCTTCCTTCCTTCCTTTCTACTTTTTCTCCATTTTATTCTGAGCCGTGTGGATGAAAGGCTCTTGGTGCTGCAGCCAGAAATCAGTGCTGTGCCTCTGAGGTGAGAGAGGCAACTTCAGGACACTGGTCCACAAGAGACCTCCCAGCTCCACATAATAGAAAACAGCAAAAATCTCCCAGATATCTCCATCTCAACACCAGCACCCAGATTCACTAAATGACCAGCAAGCTACAGTGCTGGACACCCTATGCCAAACAACTAGCAAGACACAAACACAACCCTACCCATTAGCAGAGAGGTGTCCTAAAATCATAATAAATCCACAGACACCCCAAAACACACCACTACACGTGGACCTGCCCACCAGAAAGACAAGATCCAGCCTCATCCACCAGAACACAGGCACTAGTCCCCTCCACCAGGAAACCTACACAACCTACTGAACCAACTTTAGCCACTGGGGACAGACACCAAAAACAACGGGAGCTATGAACCTGCAGCCTGCAAAAAGGAGACACCAAACACAGTACGATAAGCAAAATGAGAAGACAGAAAAACACACAGCAGATGAAGGAGCAAGATAAAAACCCACCAGACCTAACAAATGAAGAGGAAATTGGCAGTCTACCTGAAAAAGAATTCAGAATAATGATAGTAAAGATGATCCAAAATCTTGGAAATAGAATACAGAAAATGCAAGAAACATTTAACAAGGACCTAGAAGAACTAAAGATGAAACAAACAATGATGAACAACACAATAAATGAAATTAAAAATACTCTAGATGAGATCAATAGCAGAATAACTGAGGCAGAAGAACGGATAAGTGACCTGGAAGATAAAATAGTGGAAATAACTAATAAAGAGCAGAATAAACAAAAAAGAATGAAAAGAACTGAGGACAGTCTCAGAGATCTCTGGGACAACATTAAACG